TTCCCCCCCGCGGTACTGCAGCTCCCACGCCTCGACTTTTAGCGCATTGGCAATGGCAGCGCCTACACCGAGCGTCAGATCCTCCCCAGCCAGGTCAGAGAGCTTCTTCCAATGACGGAGCATGCCCACCATCCCCTCTCGGTGTATCTTCCCCCGCCTCTGCACCGCGTAAAAGGCGTCTAAAAACTGTTCGGCCATGCGGGGCCTGTCTACCCGCTCCAGAATGGTTCCTAGGAGGCTCTGCCCGTTCCTGTCCCCCTCCTCCTCCTCGCTTGCCGATGCTCCCGAGGTCTGACCTTTCGTCAATAATTCCTCTTCCAAAGCTTGTGTTTCCATGCTACGCTGGAAGTCTAAGCGTGCTCGTTCCAGCAGTAATCCCCACGCAGAGTTCCAAAGGTACGCTTTCGTCTCTTTGGATCGCCATCCCTCGCTCGCGTCCTCCTCCCCGTCCTCGCTATCGGCCTCGGTGCTGGTGTAACTGCCCCCTTCTGTCCATTGCCTGCCATCCTCGCCGGTCCTCGGCACTTTGCCCTGCCCGCCTAGCTGGGGCAGTGACTCCTGTGGAGGCCGACCTGCGCTTTCGGTCGACGTAACTTCCAACGCGGAAGTGGGACGAACCCGGGTTCCATTCCGACTTCCCCCATCCACAGATCCACGAGCCCGCGGCCGGCAAGGTAAGTTTAGGCGGAAGCACCTGCGGTGAAAAGTAATGCACCGTAGTGGCGATGAGTGCAGGAAAGCCAAGTCGGTAATCGTTTTCCCAAGCTGAATCCTCCAAAGAGACAGCTTAGAGTATTCCCCTGTTTTCCTCCCCCGCCAGCTCTCTCACACGTACCTCTCGCAAGGAAGGCTGAGGTCGCATTTACTCTATAAGCATGTGGTAGGGGGGAAGGGTGTTGATCTCGTTGTTGTAGTCTATCTTTGTGTGAGATCGAATCCCGGATTGACGATACCTCCTCGGCCGCCGCGACGAACAAAAAATAGAAAAGCACCGGACATGCTTGGACACATTACCTTGGCAACGTAGCATTTCTCACAAGCCTCCTTCTTGGACAAAGAAAGAACGTCTTGAAATTTTCCGCGGGAATTCATAGCGATGCATTCCGTGAGGCAAGACCAGATCAATCGTGCGACAACGCTTTCGTTCCTGACTGTGAAAGAGAGGAGCGAAAAGAGATTTAAAGGTCTTTTCCGCGCGCGTCTGTATCCCTACAAGACTCAAAGAGGAAACAAGAGTACGAGGCCTTGAATTTCAAAGCCAACGCGCTCGCTTATGCGCACTGTCTCCGAAGAATAGACTCATAGACAGTCTGTTAGGGTCGGTCGGCCAATAGGGCGGTGTGATGGTACGATCCTATGACGCGGTACCGCACGCGTTTATCGCGAATGGGACGGCCGCGTGGTATTTTCTTCACTTACACATCACAACATTTTTGTTCGAAAACTTACAACATGTCCATGATGGAAGTTCATAAAAGAACACCTCTTGGCTACATAATTCGTTCTATATAGTAAGAGCAAAAAGGGACCTACGGCTGCGCTCATGCGCCCAAAAACTCGATGTCATGTTGTGTAGTCTAAATTGCTCTGCTGTATCCAGTGTACTCGGACGATGAAGCACCACACCATACCACAACCCAATTTGTGATGTACGCATACAAGTGGGTGGTAAGCAACCATGAAAGCGGATGCATCTACCGAGGGTGCGGCAGGACTGCCAGATCCTTTTCTCCAGCAGATACCCCCATAAGGTATGACGTACCCGCTCCCATCGCTTTTTCTCATAATTCGTGCCTGAAAGCAAGTGAGAAGAGAACGAAAGGCTGCACGCAGCCGCAAAAGCTTATAGAATGTCGTGTTGCGTAGCGTTATTTGCAATATTTTAACGGGGAAAATGTGAATGATCAAGCATTACACGATACAAGATATCCCGCTTGGAATCCAAATACATGGTTGATCAGCTATAAGCTATGGTATCAGTGCGGAATCGCTAATAGAAAAACAACTCTACTCGTTGAAGGTAGCTGTTAAGCCCCCCTTGTAGTCAAGGTAGCTCCCGGCTGAAGGCAACATCTGGACGTCGACCCATTTGGCGCCGCAGGTACTTCCCGAGAAGTACCGATCTACGACAAATCAACAAGCACATATGCCTGGCATCGGCAGAGATCAGGGCGGACACTCCCTGTCTACAGGTATAGCGGTAACTGCCTTCCCCTGTATTTGGCCGCACTATGGCACGACTTCCTACAAGATTGCCGTGCCTGTCGACGCACAACACGCTTTCTCTGGACCCACCGAGAGATTCAGGCAGACAGACCCTCCCAAAACCTATGGAAGTGAGGACGTATTTACACCGTCCCTGTCCTCCTTTGCTCTGTTTACGGCCACCGCGACATCCCATGTCGATGCCTGCGGGTCTATGCCGGGAGCAAATTGCTCCAACGTCTATGGGCCACGCTACGAGTCAGTCCCATGCAGAGATATTGAGCCTTTAAGAGAACGACTTCCCTCTCAAACAAACATCTATCATTGCTCCATGATCATGCCTAGTAAGCTGGATCTTCTCCACACCACATAATGCAGCGTGGTATCGGGGTGAGGGGTGTCATTCCCAATGGCAAGGACAAGAGATCTTCGTTACAGCAACGAAGGTAATATGCAGGATGATGCGTGGATCGATGAAAGACAGGAGGGAGGGGAGAAAATGAAATTCAACTCCAAAGATGATGGCAGACGAGAGCGCACTGATAAACCTCAGAAGAGAACCCAGGCCCCGAACATCGACTACTGTCACATGTCGCATGCAGAGCATCTATCGCATTCCAGAAAAGCCGGGCACGGAGGAACGGCGCCTTGGCTCGCGAGCGGCAGAGCATAAAGGAGGAAGAAAAACAGGAGGACCTTGACAGACTGAAAGGATTGGAAATCTTGGTCGAGGCGGCACCGAATGCCATGCTGCTGCTCTCCGATCATATCTCCATTCTCGGGGCTTTTGCAATGCAAGTTGCTGTGTAGCCGACATTTGAGAGTAGTCGACGTTTGGGGCGCGGATTTTCCTGCTCTTTTTGGCCCTCTTGTGATCATCGTGACATCTTCTGTACCTCCCTTCCCTCCTTCCTCCCGCCAAAAAGTGCTGCAAACAATTCAAACTCAGAATACCAATGTCTTGTAGCCGAGACATAAGCTGTGATCTTCAAACGAAACAGACCCGATGGGTGAGCATCGACTGGTGCGTCGAAAGCAATAAAAGCCGCCGCCACATGCCACAGGCACCTACAATCACGCAAAGTGATCATCTTCACGGATTATACGAAAAAATTAGAGGAGATATACAAATATGGCGAGAAAAAACGTTTGCTATCGTAGCAGATAATATGATGAATACTGCAAATCAAAATCCAGGATACGAACAAAGAAAGTATGCTCAAAAAAACGTTCGGGATTATGGTAGCAGCGCTTCGTGGTCAAGGAATTCTACGTTCTCAGTGACCAGGATATTTCGCGAGAGAAATACCATGACAAAAGCAAGACAAGCTTTCACTCCTGGTGCATCTTTTCTGGTTCACCTTTTTGAAGCTCGGCTGCTGCGTGTAGCAAGTAGAGTCCGCTTCCTACTCTCTTCTTAAAAGGAGAAGGCATACAGGATTCTCGAGCATGAAGCGTTCCTAGGTCTGACTTGGGCAGAGACTGCTGTTGTAGCTCTAAAGCTGATACACGCAACATTTGTTGCTGAGGTTTTGGCTGTTTTTTTTGTTGCTGTTCTGATTCCCGTGCTGGATTTTTGATCTGGTGATGACGCGTTGTGCGTGAGTCCACACGTAAATTTAATTGGGACCGCATATCCTGCGTAAGCTCTCCATCTGTTCGCTGCCGCTTCTTATTTCGGATTTTTATTTCTGATCGTTCGTCGTACTGTCGACGTTCAATCAATGGCGGAGAATATAAGAGCTGTTGCTGTTGCTGTTCAACAGGCATGGCTCGTGTTGGTAAATTATCAAACAGCTGCTGCCGAGGATTTCCTTGATTAAGGAGCAGATGGTACTCTTTTTGGACGTGATACAGTTGTTGCCATTGAAGACGGGCTGGCGGTGTTCGTTGCTCCAGTCCCCACTCGGAGACCACTCCAGAGAAGACGCCTGAGGGCAGCGTGAGTAATGAATTAGGTCGACGATGGGGCAGTGTTTGCAGGTTGTTTGTGTGTTTTTGCTGTGGCTTCTGGGTCGTTATTATCTTCTCTACGTCATCTTTAACAGTGTTTCCATCTGGAAGGAGCGTGACTTTACTCGAATACGCTCTTTCCCGTTGCAACCAATCCAATGACATTGCGCTTTCTCCAGAGTATTGGAGCTCATTTGTCCCTATCTGTTCCATCCCAGGGACACCTTTATGTGCTGCGAATAGCACATTTTCGAGAAATTTGCTTTTGACATCGAAGAGACGAGCAGGTACATTGCACGTTGAGGGAGACAAGGAACAGGGTGGCAAGGCGCAGGGGACGTGTAAATTTGATTGAGTCCCAAGAGACAATTTCAGGGCTGTTGAGGCAGGGTAGGTATACGAGTCCACATTCTTCTCCGTATGACTGCACAAAGAATCTTTCTCTACACGAGATGTGACCGGGAGATGAGTGCAGGGAGCGAAGGCTAAGCACGCGATTGCGGGAAAGCTGGTTGTCGATTTGGTGATATCATATTCGCCACTCCCCGGCATTTCTTTTTGTGCGTCACCAAGTAAGGAAGGTGATTCTGCCGCCACACTGACTGTAACAGGGAGGTCTTGGGAGGGGCGTTGCCGAAAAAGGTTGGTTTTGCTACGCTTTTTCTTTTTGTCGGGTTGATCGGTGATGTACCGAGAAAAAGGTACCTTCTCAGTGCGCAGGACAATGTAGACCCTTTGACCCCCTTCACAGTGGGCATAATTCCTTCCCACCTTGGAAAAGCGCACCCACCACAAGGAGATGTTCCCCTCCGGATTGCAAACTTTTAGAAATTCTGAGTGTAAGCACCGTTCTCGCGTCCCTTCTTCTTTTCCTTCCAGTCCCTCTTCCGCAGCAGAGGCGTTAGCTGCAGACCATGCGTTCAAGTTCATGCGAAGCCAGGCCTCTCTATCGTCATGAGCTACAAATGTCGTCAACAAGTAGAGAGGGAGGCAACCACGAGCTATACCTTCGCAGAGGAGGAAATATGGATCAGGGAAAATATTCAGATAAGGCCGGTTCCAGGCCGTTACCACATTATTATTTGAAAAATCGACTTCAATAACCATGAGACCAGTCCTTTTGTCGTCAAGAGCTTTGAAGATAGGAGAAGTTCGAAGTCTCTGAGCATCTTTCAGCATGGCCTCCAGTTCTTGTGCGAGCAGTCCAAGATGTTGCTCATGGTTTGACTGTATTGTGGAGGGGTCTGTGCTGAGAGCATGTTTTGAGTTAGCACAATTTCTGGTTTGTGATTTTATATGCGGGTCGAGTAGGACTTTCGATTTTCCTTCCGGTTTCAGCTCCCCATCTTCCTCGTGGAGAGCCCCCACTATGGCGGCTGTCACACCAAGCGTCAGATCCTTTCCACACAAGCCTGACAGCTTGTCCCAGTAGTTGAGAAGCCACTCAATCTCTTTTTTACACGCTGGTCTCCGCATCTGCACCACCTCAAAGGCTTTTAAGGTTGCCTGGACCATGCATTGCCGGTCCACACGCTCTAGGATCGCACTAAGAAATATTCGACCTTTTTGACTACAATCACGATCGTTTTCATTTTCAGTGTTGTCACGCCCGTACTTCTTGACATCTTCATGAGTCTCATACGAAGCACCTTTAGTATCCATTAGATCTAATTGCGCCCTTTGAAGCAAGAAGCTCCAGGCGGACTTTCTACTGTCTGGTGGTGCTACCCTTTATCTCGTGGCCTCTCCATTGTCCATCTTTCTCATCTTCGCTTATGTCCTCGGTAGTGGTATCGCTACCTGCTCTCATCAGTTGCATAGCTCTGTCATCTCTGCATCCTGTCATAGTGAGTGGGTCAAAGATGTCACTTTGTTCCTTCGGGTAATAAGGTAGGCAAAGGGGCGCCTCCTTCAAGAATGTTGAATTGTTCAATCTTCCTTATCCTTCCTTACCAGGAACAGCAATGCTTTTGTGAATTTGGGGTAGACATGGCAAACATAGTCGGAAGCATCTGCATAAAATTTTGTTTTGTGATGAAACGGAGCCATGAGGCACGCACATAAATTTTCTGATTCCCCTAGTAGTCGAAAGCGATGTGCCGAATGCAGGTTTCGTTCGGAGGACTAGCCGACCATTTCATATTAAAACTCCTACTCCAAGCTTATCTCGCTAGAATCCCTCCTCTCCTTCATGTCAAGCGCTCTTACACCTCGATTGTAATTCCTTTCGTTGGGTTAATTTGAAAGGCCAAAGCACATCAGCGTAAAATCATTACTTACCGTCTGCAGGGTAGACTAATATCGCATTTACGCTGTTTTATAAATATATAAGATGGGAGATTTATCAATTTTCCCCATCGATTGTGTACAATGAATCAAAGAAAACAGGTCTAAAACCTAACAAACTCGCCCCCCGGCATTTGACGGTCCCGAGAAAACGAAAGAAAACAATTCGAATTAAGATTATAGGAACTCGAAAATACCTTCGACATGTAACAGCTTCTGCATGATTTAGATTTGGTAGATGAAGGCTCATGTGAGACATTCATAGGTGAAGGTATGACGATGCAGGATTACTTTTACCAAGTGGCGTGCCGTGTCGTGTGCGCTTTATCAGGTTGGCACGAAGAGAAGAGAAAGGAGAATTTCCTGCGAGAAGAAATAAGGTCACTGCGCGTGGTGTATGGAAGATATGTCAAATCGTCCTGCAGTTCCGTACAAGGGAGACTTGATGCTAGAGTTACGTCTTCAACAAGTGCTCCATGGACTTGAATGGGCCAGACGCTGCTAATGCGAATAAAGCCGATGGCAAGAGCCGAAGCCCGACATGCGTCATGCTCCACTTCATCTACACGTCAAATTAAAAGAAAACATCAAAAGATTACTGGACAGTCTTGAAAGCGTGACCGCGTTCTTGCCAAAAAAACGACACTTGAGCACGCTATTCAGCTTGTATGTCCAGACTCCTCGACAATTTCTTTTCAAGACCGATGACTCATCGCACATTATATTGACCCGACATTGAAAGAATATTCGACAGCTCTTTGGCAACCCCAGCTGCTACTAATGATCCGCAAATCGGTATCATCTAGACATATCACTGAGAAATCACTGTAGCCATAGTTGACTAGGGGCGAGCATAAGTACATACATACCAGTTTATTGAAAAGAAGTGGCACATGGGGCTTTTTGACGCATAAACAAAAACCGACGCCGAGAGCCGTAGCCTAACATGCGTCGTCAAGTTTGAATTCATCCGCCATCGCCTCATAAGCTTGGGACGAATGCTGTCGCAACCCAATCGTTTTACTGTGTGACTTGTTCGTGTCGGTTGGGTCGATTCGGTGCCGAGAACAGGGCACTCATTCCATAAATCGAGCAAGATACCGGTTTTCCACTTATTCCTGATCGACAGTCGTCCCTTTGAACAGCGAAAAGCGCGCCCACTATAGGTACATGCGGCCCTCTACGGCCCAAGTTTTGAGAAATGCCGAATCACGCCTCTCTGAATTTTTTCCTTCGTCCCTCGCATGTCCCTTCCTGGACCAAACATTTCGCAGCAGAGGAGACCTCCAAATGTGTGCGAAGCCAGAGGCCTTTGTCACTACAAGCAATAAGTACAGAGAAGATCAACAGAAGCAGGCAACCACAGGCTAGCCCTCACGGCGCAGGAACAAAACATTAGGAAGCATGTCCAGATAGGCCTGGTTTGTGGCTGTCCTGCCCGACTCTGTGCAGGGTCGACTTCTATCAGCAGGAGACTAGTACCTCCACCGTCATAATCTCGAAAAAGTGATGACGCCTTCAGCCGCCTCATGCCTGCTTCAACTGTCAACGGCTTCTCTGCAAGTTTCCATTAACTCCATATTTCCCCCCAGTCAAAACGACAAAAATTCCCAACAAAGATGCCGCTGCAACAGATGCTCACGTCTGATTTGACT